GGTTATGTAAGGTTATGAGAGAACCGCTCTTAAAAGCTTTTTATGTGACTTGGTGGTGTTGAAAAAATAAATAAAAAGTAGATTGCAATTTTAATAAAACCTAAACATACGAAAGCGAATTTATTCATTTTGTTTTATTCTTTAGAATTGATAACAAAAATAGACACTATTTAAATTGTTTATGGGAATGGTTGGCAAAAAACATTGGCTAATTGCCAATCAATTCGAACGTTATAAAATTTTAATGAATGATTTCCTTAGAGTTGGTTAACAGTTTAATGATTTGGAAAATATAAATTCATGAATAAAAATTGTTTACATATTTATTTCTTTATAAAGTAGTAAATGATAAATATTGCATTGCCTTAGTTTTAATACGATTGTATTAGTTGTAAATATAATTTTTTTTTTTGTAAATAAACAATTTAATAAATAGTATTTAATATTTTTGTTGTAAATTCCCAAGAACAAAAATAAATAAAATAAAAATGTATCAATTCACCTTTATCACATGTTTACATTTTATGGCAATTCTAGCCATTGCGTTTTAAAACAATAAACATCGCCGAGGAGTGACGGTAGTTAAAATAATACCAGTTTCAAGGGAAAAATCGTCCCTTTGACATTCCGTTTTTTTTTTTTTTTTTAGGGCACGAAGGTCCAAAAAAGTACACTGCTTGATTCCTTGGTTGAATAAGTAATGTACAATTTGTTAAATGGCCAGGTTGTCAGCATGCCCGATGTCAAGTGGCCTTCACCTCCCAAAATCAAATAAAAATGAATTTAAAAAAAACAAAAAAACAAACTGTTTTTGTAATAAATGAAAAGGAATATAGCGAGACAAGCTTGCTAGCCGTTACATCATGTCGAGGTGCCCTTCGACGTGGAGTAATGGTTAATAAGCTCACTTAAGATTGAATTTGAGGTTTGAGCCTCAATGCGTACTCTGTACTTTCGACCCTGTGCCATAACTATGCTACGCTTAGAAAACCATTTGGGCACTTCGAAGTGGTGTCATCGTTAGCAAGATTGTCTCGCTATATCACTTACGTCTGAACAGTGTTCGATCCTTACTGGATGCCCCATACTTTCGGCCTTGTGCTACATCTAAGCGTAGTTTAGAAAATCACTTATATTATGTGTGACGGACAGAGAATCAGTTATTTTATAATATAGATTGTTCAACAAGTTTTAGAATTGTCATTTCTAATATAATCCCGGCAAAGTAAACTGATTATAGTAGAAAAGAATTCAGAGTTCAGTGATATACCTGGCTGCCTACCGTAGAACAGGCTCTTCACAATGGAAGCTTGTCAAAACTCTGCCATGGGAGAGCCATAGGTGTTTAATAAAGACTAGTTAGAGTCGAGAGAAAAAAAAGCAAGCGTTTCTAATACTGATTTTTCAAAGTAGACCTTCCCTTTACGCAACACAATCTTTTTACTTATTTGACAAGCTAAGATTGGTATATTATATTTTTTATGGTTTCAAATTACAACGTCCCAACATATTTGTCCAAGATTGATTTAAATTTGACTGTTATATTATATAATTTCAAACGTTATTAAAGTGGACACTTATTTGAAAAATAGAGCCGCCATTTGTATTTATTAAACTGTGTGTAATACGTTTATCGACCTGCGCATTCAAGAAATTTGTTCTTCGGCAAGGATCGAACCAGTGTCCCCATCCTGGATAAAGTTGTAGTCCCCCGCCTTACAAAAAGAGGGACACAGGTTCGATCCCTGTCGGAGGGCAGATTGTTTTTGCTTAGATTACTTGAATGCGCAAGCCGATAAAAAAATTGTGAACCAGAGTGAGAATTCATTACGGAAAACTCAAGACTTGCTGTCACTTAATCCAGATTACGCCACCAAATAAAGTCGAGAATTAGAAGATTATCTCAACTTATCTCCATAAACCAGTGTTGTAATCCAGAAAAAAGAAAAGTTCTTTAGAAAACATTATCTTAGTCCTTCCGACTCCTTTACCCAATCCATTATAATCTCAAAATAAACCTATACAATTTTGTAACTAACAACGGCTTGTTCAACAGTAAACAAATGAAAAAACTTGTTCAAGGTTAAATTAATAATGACGACCGGAAGGACATCAAAACTAAACCAAATGCTGTTATTTGCGCGTTTATTTAAGTACTGTTTCTCTCGATTTTTTTTTTTTTTTTTTTTTTTCAGAAATGCCTACGGTGGCGGGGTGGGGAGACACCAGTTTATAGAAAAAAATATGCAGCTTGAGGTTAACTTTTCTACGTTAAAAACTATGTACATTTGATTGAATGCGTTGGTCAAGGAATTTTTCTTTTATGGTTTGTTTTTCTTTGTTGAGGACTAAGTGTATAGATAGACAGTAAATCTCTACAATCTGTAGCGATTTGCTATTGGAAGCGCTTTCGGTTAATATTGTAAGTAATTTTACTAACTCAGCTCACCAACTGATTCCTTAAAAATAGCTGACAGATTAGGCGAAAGCACTCTGGACAGTAATCATAACGGTGGTTTCGGCCACATTTAGACCCCCTAACAGAAAAATTAAAGAATCATATATATATATATATATATATATATATATATATATATATATATATATATATATATATATATGAGAGAAAAAAAAAACCAAACGAACAAAATAAAGAAAAGAAAAATTTGCCGTAATAAATATTGTCGGGGAGTGAAGGCAGTTAAAATAAGACCGGTGTCAATGAAAAATCGTCCGTGTTTTCAGGATGGCCGAACTTGATAAAGTCATCAGAACTTTTTTCAAGGCTAAACATCATAAAGCCATTGTTAAGAAATTCGCTGTCTGGGGAGAATTTGGAATCGTACATATTATTATCTATTGAAAAGGAATTGTTAGATTAATTGGATGAAGAAGTTATTATTAACATTCGAAACGATCATCTAGTGAACACAAACGATTGTTCGTAATATAGCCGACATCATGCTCTAGTGTGCTTTTGAACTATCTGTTAATGTGTAAATTGTGCAGTAAACTATTTAAATATCAATTTAAAAGAAAATAATTCAATTATAAGTTTACACTATTTTGGTATCTACTGCTAGTAACATATACAGTACATGTACGCTGTAATTACTAAGAAATACACTTTTTTCCCAGAAATTTTAATAGCAACCATTTTTATCTGTATTTTTTAATATTATTTATTACAAAAATTATGATATTGTGGGTGGGCCCTCTTTTGTCTTGACAACTAATATTCGTAGACCCAGTCGGCCACTGATTATTATCAGCAACTCCCCAGTCTACAAATTGGTAACAATGGCTGATATAAACTCGTTCATTAGTAATTGGGTCGCCATATTTCTAAAAAGAACTAAATCTTTAAAATCTATAGGCATCCAAATACCTACTAATGTGTAAACCAATGACTATAGATAGAACTGAGGGCTGTAGAATGTATACGAGAAATTATAGTGGACATAGGATACTGAATGATCTTATAACGGTCGTGGTCAAACTGCGAACTGTTTATCCTTTCTGAACGGCATGCCTAATTTCATAAGGGAAATAACGTTTCTTAGAATGTTTCGTTTCATTCTCACTTGTTCACTCACACATTCTCTCATACATAATCATATATATAAACAATGATTAAGTACAAATGTTTCTTGAATTTTGTAAATTTTCAGTGAAGGTAACCTTTTCATTTTAAACCATTGGCGATTTTAACCAAGAAAGATCATGCACGCTTCATCTTCCTTGGTTTTGAAACCAGAAACAAGATTTTTTTTTCCTCTGGAGAAGAAACGTACTTTTTTAATTTTCAAATGAATAAATTTGAAATAAATTATACACAGCAGCACTGTCATCAATGATAAGACTTCAATTTCTTAGTAATAGAAAAACTTTTTCCTATATTTCTAAATGTAATTCTTATTCTATAGTGAAAATACGTGGGGTACCTCTTAGGAAAAGTTACTGTTTTAGTTACCCTTTTTATTATCGGTGCGGTCCGCCTTGTGATGAGTCATAGATTACGTGGCCCACTGCTTGAAAAAGGTTGCCTATGCCTGATGATCTATAGTCTCCCTGTGGATACAATGAAATACAGTCAATTACACGGGAGGAGCTGGCGGATACATTCTAGCGTAGCAAATTTTTATACCTAGGAGTATAAACTAAACTAGCCTGACTTATATCCAGGGTATAAAAAAACTTAGCCTAACATAACCACGGATATACTCTGTGCTGTTGCACAGGGCCTTCAGATACAGGAATTGATTTTTGTTTTTACGGCTTATCAACCTTTGCGCGCTGTGTCCTTCAGAGAAGCCATGTGGCGTGCGGACGAGATCGGACGAGGTGCACCTGGGTGGCAAGCGTAGGAAAGAGCTGTATGACGTATAAACATACGAACACGCACCTCCGTATTAACAGGACAAAGTCGCCCAGACATCGGGTGCGAGAATGTAAGGTCCACATTTCGGAGGAACGTGTTTGTTTGTTGTTGTTTTATGGTTTATCAAGAACATTTTTAGATGGTAAGAATGTTGTAAGATAATAATTTACTGACACAAGACCTACTAATTAACCCATAGTTGGGGTAGAAGTGGTGGATTCATACCCCTTTTCTAAGGGTATTTGCGCTTATAACAAACCTGACTGGAATTGAAACCCAGCTCTACGATTTCCAATTATCGAGCCATTATTCGTTATACCGTCCTCACATTCTAGTTTACAGCTCTTGTATTCTCAAGTGGTCACTGATCTATGTTTCACGTTGCTTAACTTCGGTGATCGTACGAGAACCAGTGTTACAGGTAAATCAGATAAAACACGTTCTTAGGTTTATCCATCAACTAAAAATACATTAATCCATGGCTTCAGTTAGTGTAACCCTTTCTTGCCTCTGCCAGGGATTACAACCATTCTTGGCCATTGTAAGTATAACCTCAGATCTCTTAAGGATGGGGTCTCTACTACACAGTATTACTCTCTGAGCATAACTGGATAGGGTCATGGTCATTGGCCGACGTCTCTCGAAATGGAATACCGAGGAAAGCTGTGTGCAACTTCTGTCGCCACCCCCTGTCTACGTACGCGTCCATTAGCATCCGCTCTCGGTTCAAATTTGCGGATCAATAATTTCAGTTTGCAGGATCCCCTTAATTCATTGGGTTTGACTTGGGGTAGTATGTTTTACGTTGAATGAAATCACATACACAAGTTCCGGTTCAGAACTCTTTTTTTTTTTATTTAATTGAAAATGACAATGATACATGTTTTCTCATCCCCCACAAGTTTCGTAGAAACTACTCTGATACTGCCCCCATCTTGTATACCATTCACATTACCTTAACGTATGTATAATGGAACAAAACGATAAACGCATCTAAATGCTAACTTATTACATTAATTTTTTTAATCACTATATACGGGGTGTCCCAAAATATTGTATATACTCTTTAAATATTAATAGTTAATAATACATGAAGAACTTATATGGATGAAAATATGCAAAACAGATGGATTGGAAGAATAGGGACAGTTGAATACCCACCTAGATCAACAGATTTGACGCCCTTGGATTTCTTTTTGTAGGGATTTTCTTAAAGACAAAGTTTACAGTAGGAACCCTGAAACAATTGGTGAAATGAGAATAGCGATTGAAGAAGAATGTGTTCAAATACCAGAGGGAATGATACTGGACATTTGTAGGACTATTTCTTCAAGATATGAAAAGTGTATTGAACAGAACGGCAACCAGTTTGAGTACTTGATGTGAACTCATCATTATATGAACATTC